TTGTTTAGAAGTAGTGGCTGCTTGCAGTAAGACTGCTATTAAAATGTTCATAAGTTTTCCAAACTACTGAGAAGCAGAACACACTGCATACACTTCAGTTTCTAATAATTTAGCTGTGTATGTGGCACTTTACCACTTAGATTCAGCACAAAACACCTGAGAAAGATGTGGCCTCAGACTGACTGGTCTAAAAATCTTGGATACATAATGTTTTCTTTTAGCTTCTCTGTTGTTTAATTTCTTACAGGGAATCTTTGACTGATTCTCACATAAATTGAAAAGTTAATTTCGCCTTTTTTATTTATTTGGCTTTATACTTCTCAACTTTTTTTTGGTCTATCATTTCTGAAGCACAGAATGAGTCAGAGCTATATATCATCATCTGTCAATATGCACAAAAAAAGACTTCTGATCTAACAGATCAGATCAATCAGATTGTTTAATTGAGGTTTACACAAATTTGTTCTCTCCTTAAGCACCTAAAATAATCAGTCAGGAAAGTACCTGCCTGGAAAAGTACTCAGTTAAAAGCATGGATATCGTGTGTTGCAATGGCCAAAGCACTAGTGGACAAAACAATAATCCCTTCTGAAATTTCTATTTTGAAAATTGCTTAGGAATGTGTTCTATTGGTTAAGTTGAATCTGTTCCTTAGAAAAGTCACTCTTAGTAATGAGTTAGTAGCAACTTTCTTTAACAGTGCAATTTGGTAGTTTTGCTTGTCCTTAAAATGCAGGGCACTCATTTCAATAGAAGTGCTTGAAGAAATGTGTACAGTGGATAAAGATTCAGATTGCAGATTTTGCTTCTTTGAAGTTTACTGAGTATTTCCAGATTCTATGAGCAATTTAAAACTTAACAGAGAAAGGTGCAGCATCTGCCTGTCTTGTGATGGGAGAGATGGTGGTATTTCTATCCTGCCTAGAGGAAACAGGATCATCCAGAGACTTTTTTTAATGTGTGACTCACCAGAGTTGGTATGCTTGTAACTTGAATGATGACTGAATGTTGAATTTCTGCACATCTCAAATGCGGTCTATAACTTTGGATGCACTAAGGTTACTGTGTTTATCCAAAGGTAGTTGCTAAGGTATAATGGCTAGATCTTCCATAATAACTTGAAAAATGAAGCGGTCAAATCATATCAACTGTGTA